TGCCCCCGAGACCTGACCCGGATAAGAGGAAGAAGATGGATGGATGATGGATGGATGATGGATGGGTGATGGATGGATGATGGATGGCCATCTGTGAAGATCATCAACACAATGCTGAAGACTCTCTCTCTCTCAACCATTTCCTCTACACCATTTCCTCTACACCAGTTTACCAGTTGCTGACAGTTGTGAACCAACCAGCGTGGAGCTGAGGACCAAGCGTTGATCCATGGGTGAGTACATCAGTCTGTATTTAACCTGTGGGACACACTCATAGTGGTACTTGTGCTGGATCAATGGGACTATCAGAACAACAACCAATTAATTTCACCCAACTTGTCATCCTGTGTGTCTAAAGATTTACCTGACATCCATGACCTTGTAGTGCTACATAATCACAGGTCTCCTGGGAACTCCAGCATCCCTTCAATGAAAGATGCATCAGACTGTGCTTTGGGACAAGGCAGAGGCTGCTGATTCTTTTATTATTTCTTTTATCTGGGGATGTGCAGCCTGATCCTGGTCCTGGTTTTCTCCATGTCCAGACTTCCTCTAACGTTAAATCCTTATCTGGTCTTAAAATACTTCATCCTATAATCCATAGCTTGCTTTCTGAGAGAGATAGGGTCAGAATCTGGGTTCATTCAACAGATGCAGATATCTTGGTTGACCTAATCTGTAACTGATGTAGACATTKCTGGATATATTATTTTTACACTGAWAGACCTAGAAAAGGCGGTAGTGTTGCTGTTTGTGTTGAATAAAGATTTGATGCCTCCATGGTTGGTAAATATTTGTACTGCAGTTTCACTGAGAAAGGTTGACTCATACTTTAAACTCAGTTTGCTGCTTGTCTTTGTCCTTTAGCTTGGACTGAATTGGACAAGAAGGTTTCGTTCACTCAGCTCCGTCTTCATGGAACTTGTTACAAGACACTTTTAAAAGCACCAAGCAAAACGAATTCAGTCGATTTAAATCAAAACTAAAAGGTTTTGAGGCCAATTCTCTGACACTTACCTGTATTTAAAGCTTGACATTTTCTTTTAACTGTGTAATTTTCTGTGTTGTATTTTTTGCTGCCTCTTGGTCAGGACTCCCTTAAAATAAGTTTTTAATCTCAATGTTTTTCTTATCCTGGTAAAATAAATGTTAAATAAAATACTACCTTGTGGGGTTAGTCTATAAAACTGTCTGGAAAATAAATCAATGCAAGTCCACACAAAGATGGAAATACAAGTGTGTGTGTGTGTGCGTGTGTGTGTGTGTGTGTGTGTGTGTGTGTGTGTGTGTCCTTACATTCCTGAAGGATAGGAACTCCAGACCCTGAGCCACCTGGCAGGAAAACCTCATAAGATCAGTGACAGACACGCTGTCCGTGTGCTCACCTAAGGGACAGAATTATAAAGCACAGGTGAGCTCAGATGAACACGTTCAGGTAAATCCAGGTGCAGTCAGGTGAGTTCAGAGTCTTACTGGGGTTTGTTTGATCAGGACTAAGAACTGTCTGCATCTCCTGGTAGTCTGACCAACATGAGATCCCGCTGTCACTGCAGCACACAGGACAGAACATTACAAGTCAGGTGACAGGATGAAGCGTCATACAGGTGATACAGGTGTGACATTAATTAATTAATTAATTAATTAATTGGACTGACTGAACCATGGGGAATAATCAGACTGATGATGATGATGATGATGATGAGATAAATCTTGGACTGAAACAGAAACCATCTGACCTGCGCAGTCTAGTGTTCTGAGCTGCTATGTTCTTATAAAAGCCCTGGTCCTCCACCTCGTCCACACTCCTCATGAAGTTCTGAGCGTGAGCCCGCAGGAAGTTGAGCAGGTCGCCCTGGCTGCAGTACTCTGTGATCATTAGCATGGGGCCTGTTGGAGAGGCAGGTCAAAGGTTAAAGTCTGCCGTGTTGTCAGCAGCATGCTCATAGTAAAAGGTTTAAATGTATAGTTTCTTTCATAATGAACATGAGGAAAATAAAATGAATGACTTCATCAAAAAAAGTGCTATTTTTCTGTAAAACGTTCAGTCTGAATGTATTTATCAGAGTAGATCCTCAGCTTAACTTAATCCAAAATATTTAAACCAAAAGTTCTGTTCAGCTCAGTTGAACTGAGAGCTGAGCTTTTGTTTGGAGAAGATTCATCCAAATATAAAACGTAAACCGGTCTGAGACCAGCCTGGTAGAAACCCACCGCTTGTTTTTCACTTTACTTCGTACCGAGGTTCTGGACCCTCTGCTGTTGAGAAACAAACTCTTGCTGGGGGCGTGGCCTCTGTTGAAGTTTAAAACGATTGGATCTGATTTTACCCAGTCACTGATGTCTGGCCATGATGTACTGCGTAGTTCGGTTTCAGGTTCTACAGAACTTCATACCGTCTTTAGTGCCAGCAGATTTGGCTCGGAGGTCCATGTCAATGGATAGGCCTCATTTTACTGTAAATATTTAAACCAAATGTTTCCTAAATTCCTGATTAGTATATTTATTACATTTTTCACTTACTGAAGCAAACTAATGAGCCAAAACATTATGACTGTATTCTGAATGCCAAAGACCTCTGAGAATGACCAGACTGGTTTTAAGTGGATCCAGATAGTTTCAAATTGGGTCAGACTATTTTAGACTGGCTGCATTTTAGGTCTAGATCATCCATCCATCCATCCATCCATCCATCCATCCATCCATCCATCATTTTCCTCTTTATCCAAAGTTGGGTCACAGAGCAGTATCTTGAGCAGAGAAGGCCAGACCTGTCCCCAGCCACAGACCTGTCCCCAGCCACAGACCTGTCCCCAGCCACAGACCTGTCCCCAGCCACAGACCTGTCCCCAGCCACCTCGTCCAGCTCTCCTGGGAGGACTACAAGGCGTTCCCAGGCCAACCAAGAGACATAGTCTCTCCAGCATGTCCTGGGCATTCCTTGGGGTCTCCTCCCAATTGGACAGGCCTGAATCACCTCCCTAGGGAGGGGTTCAGGAGTCAGCCTTACCAGATGTTCGAACCACCTCAGCTGGCTCCTCTGGATGTGGAGGAGCAGTGGCTCTACTCTGAGTTTTTCCTGGAGAACTGAACTTCTCTCCCTATCTCTAAGGGAGAGTCCAGCTACCCTGATGAGAAAACTCATTTCGACCGCTTGTATCTGCAATCATGTTCTTTCAGTCACCACCCAAAGTTTGTGACCATAAGTGAGGGTAGGAACGTAGACCGACCAGTAAACAGAGAGCTTTGCCTTACTGCTCATCTTCCTCTGAACCACAACAGACCGGTACAGAGTCCACAAAACTGCAGAAGCTGCACTGATCCATCTATCAATCTCATGCTCCATTCTTCCCTCATTCATGAACAACACCCCAACATACTTGAACTCCTCCACTTAGGGAAGAACTTCACCCCAAACCCGGAAAGAGCAATCCACCCTTTTCTGACTGGGGACCATGGACTCAGAGAGCTGAAGATCACTG